TAAATAATGAAGCACTTAGCCACGAGTGATTATTCTAAAGGTATAAACAAAATTAGCATATTCTTTCTCTCCCTGTCTCAATGTTTTTTTTTTTTTTTTTTTTTTGTTTTTTTTAAAAATTTTTTTTTTTTTTTTTTTTTTTTTGGGTATAACAACCTGATTTTCTTATAAATAATTGCTCAATGTGAGAGTGTGACGTTTATGCAGTAAACCTTGTTTTCGATTGTAATTTTTGCAGAGGTAATAATTGGTAAATGGCGTGTTCGGTAGAGATTTAAAATCGAATTAAAATTGAAAAATTAGTCGTTATTGTTGACTTTTATTAGATGAGTGGGATCCAATAACGACTATATTTTCAATTTTAATTGAATTTTAAACCTTACCAAAAATGCTCAAAGTTTGGTGAAAAGGAGAAATAAGAGTAGAAATTTCCAACATAGAAGAGCCCATTTGATACGTCAACAAATGACAGCCGTAACATAGACTCTTGCCCCCCTCTTACAATCTACATCACATCGATGTATCCAAGTCTTAAATAATGCTCATTGAACGAATTCAAGAACATAGATTGATAGATAATAATTGAGTGTTGTATTTTTATTTTTTTAAATTGTCCAATCATGTATCGATATAGTCATCTCTATTTTTGAACATGTCGTTGAATTCGTTTGCGTAGCACAATTGCCAAGCTTCCCCCACCTCACGTCCTACATATTTCCACAGAGTTTGTTCTCAGTGATTAAAATTAATTTTAATTATGGTTAACAGTTAATTTTAATCACGCTTCATAAATCTACAACTTTTTAACAATAAATTTTATCAACTTTCGTTAAAATTTAGTAGCGTTTGGTGCACATTTTGAGTCCAAGAATGCATTTTTTATTTGTGGGAAATATGTGGTTGAAAAAGAAAGAAAAGTTATCGATATGATGAAAATATTATTTTATTGAAAATATGTAATTAAAAATAAGCAGAAGAATGATAATTAAAAAATAATATGACTCAAACATGCGTCAAAAATATTAGTTTTATTTACTTGTAAATTAGTCAAACGTATAAGCTTAATAGATTACTGTAGACTGCAATGACTCGTGCAGTCTAGTGGCAAAAGAGTCCACATTTTTCTCTTTGTTTTCTATAATTTCTTGGAAAAAAAACATCACTATATATACATGCTTACTGCTTACTCCTCCTTGTATCCATACATCTGCTGCTCTCAGAATAGACAGAGAGATATAGAGAGAGGGTGTTAGGACCTTCAGACAGAGAGACAGTTGTTTCCCGCCAGAAAACAAAAGCTCTTTGTCCCCCCACTCCCACTTTTCCTCTTTATATATACCCAAAAAATCACTACAAAATTCAATCATCACTTCTTCTTCTTCTTCAGTCTAGTTTTTTTAAAGTTCCTGTCTTCTTTGGTTTTAAACTCAATCAGCTTGTGTTGAGACATGGAACTGAGACCAGTGGTGAAGTTTACAGAACATCTAGTCACTACAAGCAAGCTCATCGATCACCGGCATCCCACAAAGCTCCGGCATAAGGCCGTGAGGATCATACTCACCGACGGTGACGCCACTGACTCCGGCGATGATGAAGGTTCCGGAAGAATATTTGTCCGTAGAGTCAAAAGACACGTTGAAGAGGTCAACTTTAAGTCAGATGTACCGAAGCAACGGTATAGTAATAGTAACAGTCAGAAAAAG